AAAGATCCAAAGCCCAGCTGGTTTAACAGCTGAGCCATGAACAGGAGAGATCCCTTTGGAGATAAAGATCCAAAGCCCAGCTGGTTTAACAGCTGGGGATAAAACACACACTTCTGGGCACATCCTATGACAGGAGTGATCAGCAGTCCCAGATAAAGGACTCTCAGTTTGGGCCTTTACTATCAAAATATAAATTTCCTCAGCATTATGCAAATACCTTATTAGATGCAAGAAAAATTTATTGTATTATTAATTTTGGGTCATATGATAAAGGGAGAAATCATTATGATGCATGGTCTATTTAACTCTGATACAACTACATCTCACTTGTTTATCTCTGAAAATCTGTCTCTTTATACAGCATGAATTGCTGCCAGAGCTGTAGTCTAGCCAGAATCATAATCAAATTTAGCTTCTGTGTGTTTTTGTACTTCTTATAGCTGAAATATAAAGAAGCCTATGAACACATGAAAGCCAAGGGCTACACTCTGGGACCTAAAGATGTTTGCTTTGAAAATGTGAGGAAAGTCAATCAAGCCATTAACGAGGTACAGTAAATATATGTATTTGCTTTCAGTTGGATTTGCAGTGCCCAAAATGTGCATAATGAGAGAACATTGACTGGCAAGTTGTAGAATCCCTCTTCTTTGAGGCTTTTAAAGTTATTTAGAGAAGTATCCATCAAGAATGGTGAGGGATCATTGATCCAGGCTGAAACTGTTACCATAAAATAAAATTGCAGCCTAATTTTATTAGCTGTGATTAAAGTTGAATAGAAATTACTGTATCTGTATAAAATGGGGTTGCAATAATTTTAGGTTTTATATATATTTACTCACTTCTTTGATCATTGGCTTCAATAGCATGGAAATTGAATAAATGATTTTAGGATTAGAATCTGAGATTTCCAGAATTTATCAAAAACAATGAATGGAAAATCTTTGCCTGGTTACAAAATAAGTAATTTGTGTAAGAAGTGCTTACGCTGTGCTGAACTTCTTTGCCGTTTCAAGGTTTTAAATGCAGAATGTTTTTTTCTCTTCTGACAGAGGCTGTACAGAGCAACATACCACAAGAACAAGGACAAGATCCACACCACGCCTGACACTCCTCAAATCCGCCAAGTCAGAGCCACCCAGGAGGCTGTCAGCGATGTAGGTGCCTCCCTAACAGAGCAACTGAAGGAGCTGAGATGATTCCCTGCCCAAACACGTGAAATGCTCTTCTCTTCTTTCTTTTCCAGCTCATCTACAAGTCAGATTTCTTCAAGATGCAGGGCCACCTGATCTCCCTGCCCTACACCCCTCACGTGCTGCACTGTCGCTACGTTGGGGACATCACCAGCGATGTAAGCAGCTGCTGCGGGCTCCGAAACCTCTCTGCCCACAGTGGGATGGGGTTTCTCTCACTCCCTTCCTATTCTGGAACAAAAAAAAAAAAAAAACCTCTTTCTCTCTGCGTTTAACGCCTGCTGATTGAAGTTATCCCAAAGGTTGACTGTTGATTTGAATTTCTTTCATAGAATAAATACAAGGAGGACCTGAGGTGGTTGAAGGGCTTGGGTTGTTTCCTGTATGACACTCCTGACATGGTCCGTGCCCGCGAGCTCCGGAAGCTCTGGGTAAGATTTTTCCTCTGGGAACTGAGCGTGACAACAATGGATTTATTCCTGTGCATGCAGGAAGAGGAGCACAGCAAAATGAGAGAATTTCGTGCTGTGCAGCCAATTCCTTGTTTTAAAGCACTATAGGGTTGCACTGTAAAATTTCCTTTATTAATACTTCTTTTCCTTTCCAGTCTAACTATATCTACACAAGTTCTGCCAAGAAAATGTGGCCTCAAGTCAAGGTGGTGTTGGATACTCCTGGATACAGAGCAGTGCAGGAATTAAAAACCCATCTGAGTGAGGTAAATTCTGTTTTTTCTGCACAATTTTGTAGCTGTAATTAACCCCTCCCTGTGGTTTTTTTTTTTTTTTTCCACTGGAATAGATGAGATGTTATAATAACAAAGCTGTGATTGTGCAGCTTCTAAATAATAACAGAAGAAATAATTCCTGGACCTGTCTTTTTCCAGCTGGTTTACAGAGCTGCTGGCAATGAGCTGAAGACAAAATACACCTCTGTCCTTGATACACCTGACTTCATAAGAGCCAAGACAGGACAAAAAATACAGAGCCAGGTGAAAAAATTACGCTGATATAAAAATCAATCAGGGGATCCTTCTTAATATATTGTTAAAGTACAGCAAAAGCTTTCCAGGCCGTTTTGAAGCAAAGTAGGGTTCCTAGAAATTGGTGGTTTTGTTTATACTGTGAATTTACAGCTGTTTTTCAGAGAGATAAGATGGAATGTAGTAGAATGTGATTTTTAAAATATTTTCTTCTTGCTTCAGTACTTGTATGTGGAACTTGCCACAAAGGAGAGACCCCACCATCATGCTGATGGTCAGACTCAAGCCTTTACACATGCCAGGAATGTCAAGGACATGATCAGTGAGGTAAAATCTTGTTTTCTAATTTGCTGCCACTTTGCTGAACTCTTTAGAAGTTTTATTTCTAATTTTAGTGGTAATTTCAAGGCTCAAATCCGTTTAGCCTTCATTTCTTTTAATCCCTCTTATACTTAAGTTTGACATTTCCTTTGCAAGTTCTAGTAAAATAAAACATTCCGAAAATGTTTTAGAATTTTATAAAACGAGGTGTTTTTTGCAGATAGGCTTTTTTTTTTGCAGATAGGCAAATACTTCTAAAATTGCAAGATGACTCTTCCATTTTGCTGTCTCTCTTAGAAAAAATACAAAACGCAGTATGAGAAGATGAAGGACAAATACACCCCTGTCCCTGACACCCCAGTGCTGATCAGAGCCAAGAGAGCCTACCTGAATGCCAGTGATGTGAGTACTCCAGGAGCACCCACTGCTGCTTTTCCTTGGATTCTCTGTGGAAAGAACAGGAAAAAGATCAGTGGGGAACACACATGAAAAGCACAGAATATCTCAGTGCCCCATCAACAAAGCCCCCTTATTTGCATGTCCATTTCCTTTTGAAATTAGGAACATTATTAAGTTTTGATTTGATTCCACTGCAATGCTTTTTTTCTTTTCCAGTTTTTATAATTCATCTTCATTTCCCTTTTGCACTCAAGTGTGGCCTTACAACAAAGTAAAATCAGATTTAAAATAATTTGTTTCCACATCAAGTCTCTAAATAGAGCAGACTGGAGTGAAGTGATTGATGCTGGGGCCAGGACAGAATAACTTTGATCAGCTTTTTCATCTCAGTTTTGTGTTAGAAATAAACTGCCCTGTCACTGGGAATGTGTTCATTTTTTAATTCAGAAGTAGATTAGAGAGAAAAATTACCTGAGCTGCTGCACAGGAGGTTGTTAAGGTGAAATTGATTTTTTCAGGCGTGGAATAGTTATTTGTGATTTAAGACAATTTAAAAAATGCTCATTTGTGAGAGCTTTTCCATATATTTCAGAACCAGCAGGATGTGAAATGACATGTGCAGGGCTGATGCTTTGTTCTAGGGTTTATTTAATCTTCCTGCTCTAAGAGTGATTTTTAAATATGCCAAGGAGCATCCCAGCTCTTCTGCAGGAAGGAATTTCTCCTCTGAGAAAGTCTTTCTCCATAGACTGGGATGATCTTCCTGCTTTCTCCTAGAGGAGGGCAGGGAAGAAGGAATAAATAGATTTTTTATGCCAGAAGAGACACCTGTGCTATCCTAGAGAGCACTCCTTTAATGCAGGGATGTTTTTTCCTCAGTCTGAAAGTGACTTGGGTGAAATTCTCTGTAATTTTCACCGCAAGTCTCAGTGAAATTACAACTGATTGTAGGAAATTGCAGCTTCCAAAAATTCCTCAGGGCTTACACTGGGATGTCAGACAGCAACACATCCCTGGATATCATTCCTGAGAAGTGAGAATTGGAACTGAAACAATTCCTGGCACATTAATCCCTTCTTTTGTGTTTTTTTTTGTTTTTTTTTTTTTTTTTACTTCCCAGCTGCGCTACAAAGAAACCTTTGAGAACACCAAGGGCAAATACCACACAGTGAAGGATGCTCTGGACATTGTCTACCACAGGAAGGTCACTGATGACATCAGCAGTGTATGTACAACATCTTCAATCCTTAATAACCTAAAATAGGCCTTTTAGCCTTCTGTTCCATTTCAATATGTCAAATAATTAGGAAAATATCAGCATTATCCGGGTTGATTTCTTTCTTTCTCTGGAATATTGATTGCTGTCGATGTTACAAGTTAATCTCATTTCCACTCTTTTAGTTCTGCTGTTTCCAGGGGGCAAAAAAAATTGAACTTTTATATGGTTTGGAGCGTTCTCTTCAATTGTCTGACTTAATTCTTCCATTTTCTCTGTAGATCAAATATAAGGAGAATTACATGAGCCAGTTGGGAATCTGGAGATCCATCCCAGACCGCCCTGAGCACTTCCACCACCGCCTGGTCACAGATGCCATCAGTGATGTGAGTTCCAGCAGCTCCTGCATGGAGAAAAGTCCTTTCCAAAACCAATCCAAGCCTCCTTTCTCCACAAAGGGAAAGCAGCTGAAATTTTTCAGTGATTTACAATTTGCCCTGGCAGAATTTGCCCTCAGTTCTGGCAACTGAGAGAATCTGGTGGCTAAAGCTGCAGCACATCCCCTTGCCAAATTAACAATCTTAATTAATTTCGGTTGTATTTGCTTAGATTTGTTTAGCCCTGTAACAGCCTTTAATTGTACATTTCTGTACATACACAATGACACCTGTACATTATTTTTAATTCACACAGGAACTCCAACAGCTAATGATAAAGTATTTGTGTGAATAAACTGAGTCCATCACAGAAACAGGAGAAACTAATTTATTTAATCATGGATGTAACTCTCTTTGCCACACCTCGTTCTGAGGTTCATTTCAGCACTGATTATCTGCTTAAAACTGAGGTTTTTTTACTTCTTTTCTAAAGGTTAAATACAAGGAGGACCTGGAATGGCTCAAAGGCACTGGCTGCTATGTGTGGGATACTCCAAGTTTTGTCCTGGCAGAGAAGAACAAAGTGCTCTACAGTGGGGTGAGTGAAACACTCTGAGTTGTTGCTGAATATTTTTGGACATTTGCTGTCCATTAACAACGATTTGCTGTTGGTAGAAAAGTTAAACTCACAAATGCAATAACTCCACCACTTTTTTTTTTTTTTTTGCCACGAGTTCTCTCTAAAATCATGTTTTCATTGCTTTACCCTTCTTTGGACTAACGTGAGCTGGGTTTTGTGTTTTTGCTTTTCTTTGGCTCCAGTGTAAGTACAAGGAGAATTTTGAGAAGACCAAGTCCAAGTTCAAGTACGTGGCTGACTCTCCAAGCAATGAACATTTTAAATATGCAACTCAGCTGATGGATGGGGTAAGTAAAGATTTCTGTAGGCTCAGGCTTAAGTAGTTGATCTGTGAGTAAATACAGAGTTGGAGGTTGTCCTTCCTTATAATCAGGCTTAAAGATTTTTTTAAGATCAGACTAAAGTCATGAAAAACAAGATTGTTGTTTCTCTGAGTTTTAGGACAGAACAGGTTTGCAGAGCCCAGGAAGTGAAATCCCCACCCCTGTTCATTAATTTTTCATGGCAAAGGAACTTTTCCTTTGCTGACTTAAATAATGCTGCTGGTACAGTGACCCTGGGTGTTGTTTTCCATCTCAAAAACTTGTGGAGAGAATTCCAATTGCTCTCCTAGAACATTGATAAAATTTTTATTGGTGGTAGGAAGACAGAGTTATGTCTGAAGTTGCCACAGCTCGTTTAATTTCAGTGATTTTGCCTGGAATTTTCCCACTCTACAAATCAACTTTTTCTTATTTTCCTCCTGTAGTGCTAAAGAAACAATTGACACAACCTAATAATTAATGAACACCCCTGGGTTTAAAATTGAAATCACTCCTGGAATTTGTAGGATTAGTGCTCTACACCCCAGGACAAATTCCATGGAAAACATCAAGTCCAGGGTGATTCCCATCAGCTTAGATTTGGAATAGCACATCAAAATCTGATGTTTTTCATTAAAGAAGCAGATATTTAGGTTTATATTTTAATATTTCATTTTTTTCCACCAGCCATTGTGTTTCATCATTACCTGTCAGTAAGTTTAGTACTGTATTACCTGCTCTAGCTAAGAAAAGCTGTTTCACAACAAACACCAGAATTTTTGTGAAGATTGTTCAGTCTTATTTTTGTTCATAGAGCAAATAAGGAAAAAATGAATATCAGAATGGGTCAAATTTTATCAATGGGAGCTCCATAGATTGAAATGAACTTGCCTAAATATCTTCTGTTATATAAGTGATGCTTTTTTTTTTTTTTAATAACATCTCATTGTGTTCTCTTTGGACTCAGCTCAGGATTCTGCAACACAGGGTTGCTTCTGCAGTTACTTTTAATGAAGAAATTCAGTCATAAAATTGCTTATTGAAGGGATGGAATAGAGACATCCTTAAACTCTAGGCCTTCCAGAGGCAATTTAGAAATGCATTTAGCATTTGGAAATATTCTCCCTTTTTTTTTCTTTTTCTTTTTTCTTTTTTTTTTGTGGTTTTTTTTTTTTTTTTTTTTTTTTTTTTTTTTTTTTTTTGTTTTTTTTTGGGTTTTTTTTTTTTTTTTGGTTGGTTGGTTGGTTGGTTGATTGGTTTGGCCTTTTTTTTTGGTTTTTTGGGCTTTTTTGGTCTGGTTTGGTTTGGGTTTTTTGGGTTTTTGAGTTGAGGGGTGGGGGTTTTTTTTGTTGTTGTTTATTTGCTTTGTTGAGGTTTTTGTTGGGGTTTTTTTGGTTGGGGTTTTTTTGTTTTGTTTTGTGATTTTTTTGTTGTGGGGTTTTTTTGGTTTTTTTTGTTTTGTTTGTTTGTTTTTGTGGGTTTTTTTAAATTTTGTTTTTATTTTTAATTAATTTTTCTCTTTTGGACACGACCTTCAACCCCAACCTTTAAAGAGGTTATACCAGTGATCTCTCTGTATCTTAACCCTCTCTTGTTACACTGTATTGTGCTATTCTGAGCAGAAATTATATAAAGCAGCCTATGAGAAGCTCAAAGATAGGTACAGCGTTATTGTGGATGACCCCAGGAATCTGCTGGCCAAGTGGGGCAGCACTCTGAGCAGTCAGGTACTGTGGGGGCACCTGGAGCAGCTCTGTGTGCCACCTTCACTCCAGCAGGGTCACAGCCCTGTGACACCGTGGTGTTTCTTCATCTGGTCACTCAACCTCCATCCTGCCACCCAAAAAGGAGCCACTTTTTGTGTGAGCTGCTCTGTCCATCTGTCCTGTATGTATTTCCATTATTGTGCATCAATAGACATCAGGAATCCCGTCCTGAAGTCGCTGTTGAGGTGTTGAAAAAAATGAGGAATCAAGCATTAATTGTTTTATTACCTCTTTTCAAGTCTTCTTACTCATTTCTAGACAAAGCTACGAGTACATATTTGCCTTAAACTCTAATTTACTCTCATCTCCCCTCAAAAATTCATCATTTCCTTAACGTGAGAGCAGGAAAATTTGTTAATATTTAATCTTGGCAGTGTTAAATGTTCAGCTGTGAATTGTATGCACATGTGGATGAATACATACAGCACCTTGCCTAAATCTCTCCACTCTCCAAGTGCCTGGGATCTAGAGCTGTGTCATTGTTCATGTTGCTCATGAGTCTCTCTTGTCCTTGGTTGCCATTTGCATGGACAGAAAAGCTATAAATCCTTTGCCAAGATGCTCCTGCAGCAAGGATGCAATGAAATTCTGAGGCCAGATATGCTGACAGCACTCTACAACACATTCCTGTGGAGCCAGGTAATCCTGCAGAGCTCTGGGACACCTTAGATACCCACTGTAGCTGCTTGGACTTGGCATATTTACTGCTCCCTCTATTTCCTCTATTTCCATGGACTTCCCAAAGCTTCCTCCATGTGCTTAGTGCTGGCTGTGATAAAATAAAACAGAATATCTGAAATAGGATTTGCTCACTTGGACATAGCTCAGGCTGAGCTTGTCCTCATTTTCTCCTTTCATTATAAACGATTGGTATGGATTTCACATATTTGTATAAAAAAAGCAATTTTCCATTCATTTCAGATATTGGATGTTAGCTCTTCCTGGTATTTCCCTAACCCAATTCTCATTCTGCCACTCTTTCTTGACCTGGCCACTTTTGATAACCCCAGTTCCTTAATTCAGGAAGAACATGATGGATTTGCCAGGGAGATTCCAACATTTACCTCCCACTGTGCCCTGAATGGTGTCACACACAGAACAGTTATTTCTGCTCTGAAATCACAGCTGCTGGCAGCCAGCTCACCCTTTGCAGGGGGAAAAAATAATTCTTGATAGTGAATTGGGAGATAAATGATAGACTGGAAATGCAACAGTGGGAAACAATTCTGTCAGAGGGAATTGTAATTGTTTGTTATTGCCTGTGCCAATAGTGACAGTCTTCAGTAATGAATTACTGAAGGTCTTTCAGACATTTTTGTTCCATTTTTCTGTGGATTTCTATTCTTTCACTAAAAACTCCTTGCAGGTAACTGAGTATGTTTGAATTTAAAAAGAATAGAAGTGTCTGACCTGCATGTCCCCCCGAGTTCACTTCATGTTATCATTGATTATTTGTTCATCATTTTTCATATTTTGTCCGTCACAGTCCCATTTCAAATGCATGGTTTTATTTTCTGATAAAAGGTAGAGCATGAAAATCCTTTTTAAAAAAAATATCTCCTAACCTTTTCCAGCTGCCTTGAGGCTGCCTACAATGAATTCTCATCCTTGGTGAGCCTGTTCTCACTGAACTCTGTGAAAAAAGGTTTAGAAACCTGAGCAGGGCAAGGTGATCTTTAAGAAAATCATTACCAAGGCACAAATCCTGCTGCCAAAGCCTTGAAAATATCCTGGCATTGGGATCTATTTGGTCATGTTTTACATTTCTCTTCACTCTGATCACAGAATCATTAAGGTTGGAAAAGACCTCCAAGATCACCAAGTCCAAATTTCAACTGGATATGAATATTTAAAAATGAGATATTATCTGTTATGAAATTTAAAAATCTCTGGTCTGCAAGGATTGGGTTTTTTTAGCTCAGTCCTGGAGATTTTATCTCGAAATAACCATAAAATTGATCAGACAAACAAACAGGCAGCCTCCTTGGCAAGGATGGGCTTTGCAATTCAGCTCATGGTGCAAGTTCTGCTTTCTTTGCCTTCGTGGGAGGGTTTTGCAATTTTATCCAGGGGTATAACCTCACCTCTGGAAGAGGCTTTGTCCTGCTCTGTGTGACTAACTTCGAGCCTTTCCCCACGTCCAGATTCAGTACAAGAAGGACTATGAGAAGAAGAAAGACAAATACACCACAGTTCTGGATACCCCAGAATATTTACGGACCACGAAGGTCAACAAACAGATCAGCGACGTAAGTGTGGATCCTTTGGGATAATGGGATAATCACCCCCAGGGAATTTCCAGCTGGCATCAAGGATTCCAAGAAATAATCCAAGCCCCAATTTGTCCCTGCAGATTATTTACAAGCTGGAATACAACAAAGCCAAGCCCAAGGGCTACACCACCATCCAGGACACGCCGATGCTGCTGCACGTGCGCAAGGTCAAGGACAGGATCAGCGACGTGAGTCAATCAAAACCACACAAAATTCAAAAATTTCAACTTGAGAGACAATGTTTGCAACTCCTGTCTAACACTGTCAGTGAAAAATCATCACCTTCTTAGAGCATATTGGCTTGTAAAACTCTCTCTGCATTCAGTGCTTTTTCAAAACCCAGGAAATTTTTCATTGAATTTGATTCTGGAGCTCTTGGAACATTTTGTTGCTGGGACAAACCACCCCTCACTAGAAATAAAAGCCATGAGCTGGAAGTGATCTCTAAGTCATTAATTTGGAAGTTTTTTTCTGTTTTTTTTTCCTCTAGTGGCTTTTTTTTGAGGCTTGAATGAAATATTTCATGTATTGCTGTGTTTATTTATTTCTTATATGGGTACTGAGAATATGAACTAAAATAAATATATTTTGATTCTGGGGCAGTAGAAAAGTAAGAAGGAGAGAGAAAGGAAGAGGGAGTGGATAGAATAACACAGAATTTAGGACTCCTGCTCCTAATTCCTTCTCCTGCCCTTTCTCTCTGTCCTTTGTTTTGTTGTTCCTTAGGTATCCATAAATGAGGATACTGAAACTTCTGAAACTCAGCGTAGCACTGTCAGAATAAGTAGCCTGGATTTCATCCAGATGCTCCATGGATTGCTACATAACTAGTAAATCCAGGAGGAAAAACAATATTTTTTTATCCAGATACTAAACTGGATCATTGAGAGACAGAGATGTGAATTGAAGGACATTTTTGAAGTTCCAAACTGAGTGCTGAGATTTTCTGAAGGAGTTTTCAGTTAGTGTCACTATCAGAAAATAAGTTTTTTCAAAGCATTTCTTTTGGCTGCAAAAAACTAGAGATATTCAGAATTACTGGTCATGAGTAGATTTTGTTTCATCTATTAATCTTAGTCTGATTTTAGTCTGTGCCTCGTGGTGAGTTAAAACTGCCACATTTTCTATTTAAAGAGAAGGGCTGCTGGAGAAGACCCTGCATCAGGCTTGATATCAAATTGTATCTGTAAAATTTATTTTTCATGGAATCCCAGAATTATTTCCCAAGATCACCAAATCCAAGCTGTGCCCAACCCTCACCTCATCACCAGCCCAGAGCCCTGACTCTGATTTTCTAAGTGCCACCTCCAGCCATTTTCTCCTATTAAGATTTTATCCAGACAGGACCAATTTTAATTAGGTTTTTCCTATTTGGATGCTGATATGATCTTTGTAAACAGTTTTACGTCTTTGTCTTTCTTTAGTTGAAATACAAAGAAATGTACGAGAGGAGCAAATCTCGCTGCAACGTCGTGGCAGACTCAGTTCACATCAAAACTCCCAGACACGCCTACAAACTGAACAGCAACGTGAGTTCTGTCCTGGTCATGTTTGAATTTTATTCTGGAGGGTGTTGGGAACTGGCAGTGGCAACCACAAGGAATTATTTCCACAAGAAATTAAATTCCAGTGAATTTTTTCTAATCCTTACGCTGCTGGAATAAAATGCGTTTGAATTTATTTCACACTGAAGTGCTCGCTCTGGTGAGTTGTCCTTGAGGTTCTTGTATGTCACACATCCCATCCTTCCAGCTGTCCTCTGCTTTCCTGGCAGAGACACAACTGTCCCTGGAATTCCATGGGATGATGCTGTGGGAGACAAAGCAAAGCTTCAGGAAAACTTCCCTGTGTTTTCTGGTTTTGGTGCCCAGCACCCATTTCAGCAGGAAGGATCTGAAAACTCTCCCCTTCTCCAGAGTCAGGACATCATTTCAGTCCTTCATATTCCTTTCTTTCTTTCTGCACCCTCGTATTCCTTTCTTTCTTTCTCCACCCTCATAGTCCTTCCTTTCTTTCTTTCTTTCTTTCTCCACCCTCATAGTCCTTTCTTTCTTTCTCCACCTTCATAGTCCTTTCTTTCTTTCTCCACCTTCATATTCCTTTCTCCACCCAGCAGTGGAGAATCTGCAGTGACTGGGCTGTGCCTGACCCAGAGAAAAGCCCTAATCTGGTGTGGTTATATTTTCTCACCTCTTCTCACAGACCAAAAGAGAGTTGGCCTCTGTATGTTGTGTGCAATGTACCCAATTTCCAATGAACTCTTTTTGCTTTTTCCCCTCTCACAGCTGGATTATAAGAAGAAATACGAAGCAGCCAAAGCCCACTGGCACCTGATCGCTGACAGGCCTGACTTTGTCCAAGCAGCCAAGTCCTCTCTGCAGCAGAGTGATGTAAGAAAATCAGAATACACTAAGTATTCCATTTTCCCATCTCTCCTAGTCAGAATTGTTTAAAAATTGGAGAAGATCAGAGACTCTCTTACTTTATCTTTTATTTTTTTTCTTCCTGCAGTACGAATACAAACTGGACCGGGAATTCCTCAAGGGGTGCAAACTCTCTGTGACAGATGATAAAAACACAGTGTTGGCCCTAAATAATGCCATCCTGGCCAGTGATGTAAGCACTGAACCCCCCTTTCCTCTCCAAGCTCTCTACTACCACTTTACTCACTGCTTAACTGTCCTATTGCAAATATAATCGGATTAACAACAAAGTTTTGGACAGTTGTTCTCCATTTCACTTCATTGTTTGATTTATTTAATTAACAAATTGACTGATAAATTTTAGACATTTGGTCTTGTAGAAGATTCATGGGTTAAATTAATATTCAAAGCTAACATGGCCTGAACACCTCTGGACCTTACACCCAGGTGCATCTCTACATTCCTGATATTGAATCTGGAGAAATTATCTGGGAATAGCAAAAAATATCTTTAATAATAACACAAAATAAATTTAATAATTACTAACAGGATATTAAAAAAATTCCAATGAGAGCCACAGGAATTAGGATTGCTATTAGTATGGATTAGGATGTAAAATATCAGAATATGGGATTTGCTGCAAAATTTTGCTCTAACAAGCAAACACAACTGTACTAATTACTTTTGATTCTGCCAGAAGACAAAATGCCCATTATTCAAACTGACATCTCTCCTCCCTGCTAGATAAAATACAAAGAGAAGCACAACAAAGCCCGTGGGACCTACCACGTTGTTCCAGACACCCCTCAGATCCTGCTGGCTAAGAACGTCAGCTCTCTGGTGTCTGAGGTAACTCATTAATGGATTGATTGATTGATTGATTGATTGATTGATTGAATGTCACCCCCATCCCGGAGCTGCTGGGTTTTACCTGGTTTTCCCCTGTGCTGGCAGAACAAGTACAAAGAGCAGAGCAAGAAGCAGCTGCCCCATGGCTCTTTCACCACCCTGCCCGAGACCAGGGACACGGTCCACGTGAAGGAGGTGACCAAGAACGTCAGTGAGGTGAGTTCAGACTCAGCTCATCATCCCCAGGGCTGAGCTTTTCTAATCCCAACCCCAAAAACTGCAGCCAAGACATTTTTGGGAATGAGGTGACTCCTCTTTATCCATCCAATGCAGTTTCAAAGAGGTTTTTTTCCAAGTTTCTCTTTGTGTGATGTTAAAAATTCACACGTGGCCCTTGTTGTTCCTGACAGACAAACTACAAAAAGAAGTTTGTGAAGGAGAAAGGTAAATCCAATTATTCTGTCATGCTGGAGCCTCCTGAGGTGAAACATGCCATGGAAGTTGCTAAAAACCAGAGCACAGTAAGTTTGCTTCTTTTCCCATTAATTTAGTAGGTTATGTAAGCAAACTCTGCTGGAAAAAACAGAGTTTATGGATTTCTGAATTTCCTCCCAGCCTCCATGTTCACGTGTGATTTTGAAAGATAAAAGTGCAAATAATTTACAAATATGAAATTGCACTGAAATAAGAGATTTGTATTAAAATCCCATTGTAGGATTTCAAGTAATCTGGTGGAAATCACATCTAATAACTTTTTTCACCCTTTCAAATACAGGCAGAATTTCCCATATTTATTTCTTCACTTGCAGACAACTTGCAAAACCAGATTCCCAGATCCATGCCTTGTGAATTGATTTCCAAAACAAACCCATGCACTTTCTCACATTGCTGTGTCCTTAACTGGTGTATTCCCACTGGATAAACCTTATTAATTTTGTCTTTTTTCCATGAATTAGATTGAATACAAGAAAGATGCCAAATCCAAACTCCACTACACACCTATAGCAGATCGACCAGATATTAAGAAAGCAACTCAGGCTGCCAAATTAATCAGCAATGTGAGTGGTTTTAAGCCTTCTGTTTAATCCTTTAGCATTAATTTAATTACAAACCCCAGCAGAATAATTACAAGGGGGTTTCCTCACTCCTAAAGGATTTATTTCTTTTATTAGATTGAATATAAGAAGCGTGGAGCAGCAGGTGTGGGTGTGACCATGCTGGGACGTCCAGACATTGAGCTGGCCAAGGAGGTGTCCAAACTGACCAGCCAGGTAAGGGCAACATGAAAACCTGGTGAAATTCAAAGCAGTGAGAGAAATGAAACACGAAATTAATTTACAGAGTGATGTCATGATTATAATTGAAATTATTTCCAAATTAGGGGAAAAGGGAAAAGGAAGGGAATGTGGTGAAGTAGAAATTTAACACCAGTAGAAATTTGTATTTCTTTGTTAAACATTTCTACTGTCATTAATGGAGACATAAAACCTTTTTAAGATGATGCTGTGACATAAATACTGAAGCTGAAATGTTTTCCCTGTTCTTTTTTAGCTCTTTTGGGTATTGGCTTTACCAGAACCAGCCTTTACCTGACTCTTATTTTCCATCCTTTGAACAGACACTTGGCTTCTTTTTCCTTTGTATCTTTAAAAGACTCTTGTGCCAGGACCTCAATCCCTCTTGGTTCCTTCTCACTCCTTCATCTTTGAATTCTGGATTTTTGCCTTTCTGACCTTGCTTTCTTGCTGCTGGTTGTAGGCAGAGTACCTCAAACAACACATGAGAGGCCATGGAGCTGCTTCCTATGACACCCCCTGGATGAGAACCTTTAAGAAAGCAAATATGCTAAGTAGTCATGTAAGAGAATTTTAATTAACTGCCATTAATACCATTATTGTGCATCTGTCTCTTGCTGCCATAATTATCTTGCAATTCTGCAGCACCACGTGAGGCTTTAAATGTCATTCTGCCTTTCATAATGGTTTTGGAGCTTCCAGGTTTTTTTTTTATGGAAGGTTTCAGGGCACTCACATAATGTGAAAACTCACCTTTTCCACACAAAAACCTAAAATTTGAGCTGTTATTGTCCAAAAATGAAAAAAAAAAAAAACCCACAGGGAAATATATGTGTAAATATATGTGCATGACCAACCTGAACAATGGTGCTGGTAATTTTCAGTGGACAGTCACCAGAACTTCATCTTAACTCTTCAAACTTCTATTAAAACTTCATTTAAACTTTAATTAAACTATTTTATTGGCTGGAATTTCCTCATGGAAGAGCAGGCTCTGACTGAATCAGCCCCACTGAGAAGTGCAGCCTGAACCACTTTGAGGGCTCATTGTTCCTTAGACTTCTTCCCACATCAAAACCTTTGGAAAATAAAAAAAAACCAGAGCCTGGATTGCCCATTTGGAAGTGGCAGCAGACAGGTCTGTGCTATTTCAATTTTACACATGTATTTCCAAGTGGGGAAAAAAAAGGGATTTTGTTTTTTCCATGTCTGGCTGTGTCTGCTGCCATGTTTGGATGTTGGAATGTCCAGGAAAACCAAGGATCTCCTCAGGAGAACCAAGGATTCTAAACTCATCTACAAGAAAAAGAAGAAGTTCTGTCTGTAAACTGATCTACAAGAAAAAGAAGTTCTGTTTGTAAACTGATCTACAAGAAAAAGAAGAAATTCTGTCTGTAAATTGATCTACAAGAAAAAGAAGAAGTTCTCTTTGTTTCCATTCAGTGATGAGATCCTGGTTTTCCATTCTTTTTCCACTCCTGGTCTTTTAAACATTCTTTGCTGAGATAATTTTGGTTCTGAGGGAAAATGAGCTGCTGGAGGGAGCAAAGAATGGTTGGCATCACCTTTAACTGTTGTATTTTCTCTTCTCATAAAGTTTGTGAAGCATCATGTCCACTTTGTTTGTCCAGTTGAATTTTTTAGTTGGATTTTGTCTGTCTGGCTTGCTTGCTTTTAATGTTGCATTGATCTCCCAGCAACTCTTCTTTTGGGTTTAAAGAACTCTCATTCCTGTCAATATTCCTGTGCCTCCAGGCTGGATCTGCTGGAATCTGATGTGTTTGACTGTGTTTGACTTGGCTGAAGCTGATGTGGTTTGGAAGTGGTACTAAAACTCTTGTAGAATCTAATTAATCTAATTAATTAATCATTAGTAATTAGTTGTGTGACTGCTCTGTTTGTGATCATTAATCCAGACAGAACACACTGTGTGCATAACAATGGAGAGGAAAGTATTTGATGTACTGACATCTTCAGTGCTCCAAAGTCTTGAGGTTTTTAAAGCTCTAATTTCTCCAAGAAGTGTATAAAAATTTCTCCTAAACACTCTTTCATATATTCTTCCACTATTATATTTCACATAATAATAAGTTTCTTGTATTTTACTCTTATTATAATTGTCTCTGTCTTTGTGAAACTTCTTAAATCAATGGACTGTTCCCATCCAGTGAAAAACTCTTCACCTCCAAGGGTGAGAATTTTGGCAACACAATTCTCTTGGCTTTTTTATTTTTACAATGAGGAGATGTTACCTTTGCATTGGAAGAAAAATCTTATAAATGTCAAATAGATGTAGATTTTCTTTCCGTGTCGGGTCATTTTTGAAATAATCTTTATTCCAGTGGACACCTTCAACTTCCTGCACTTTGGTTCTTCTCCCATGAAACAGGGTCCCTCTGCAGCCAAACCAGGGAGTCCTGCAGAGCAGCTGTGACACCTGCTTGTTCTCTGTTTAGGTGAAATACAAGGAGAACTTTGCCAAAGAGTTGGGTAAAAAGCCAAAATATGATTTGAAGGAGGCCAAAATCTACAAGACCCTGAAGGACGCCCACAACATGGCCAGCGAGGTACGTTCACTTCTGCTTTTGCTGGGAGCAAATCCCAAACTTTGTGTGGACCAGCAGGGCCCTCTCCTGATGGGTTTGACCCTTTGTGGACACACACATTTATAGAGCGAGGGAATTCCAGCTTGGGAATTCTCTCCAGGCCTGGATTTCTCCTGACTCTCAGCTCCATTCCCAGGCTGACAAGCTGACTGCAGCTTCAGTTAGGGAGGA